TATTTATTTATTTAATTTTTTTTATGAAAGAGTTTATAAATTATAATTGAAACATGATCCACAAAAAATATTCAACACTTCCCGTTGATATCCTTGTTATTATATTAACTGAATAGTGTATAGAACAGAAAAGATGAAATTACACTTTTTTTTACTATAATTTCTTCTTCGAAATATGTACGTAAAGAACTAAAGCGTATGAACAGTTCCGACGATGTTTAATAATACTTAGAACTTTACGCGACTCACAATAAATAGCGAAAATTTCAAGAACGAAATGATTGAGGAGAATTTCTTTTCCGTTTAGAAATTTATTTTATCCCGAATAAATAAAATTAATAAATTTTTGCGAAAGAACTTAAAATAAAACTTTTACTGTTTTTTGATCGAATGAAAGTAAAATATATTAATAATATTTTTTTCGGTGCGAGTCTTCTCCAAAAAAAATTATTCCGAGACCGCGAGTTGTACAATAAAAAAAATATATTGTTATTATTTTCAATATAAACGACGTCGTTAAAAAATACGTCGTACGCGATTCAAAGGCAAATTTTTACTGTTCTGTCAATCAACATTTATCAAGCACCAACTACTATGAAAAACGTATTATGGGCGACGCCCACTTTTGTGAAACATTCATTCGTTATTTTTCGATGATTCCACCTATTTTTTATACATATATCTCTCTTCTCTTCTTTTCGTATTCCCCAAAAAAATATTTTTCATACAAGAGCAGCAGCAGCGGCAGCAGAAAACATTTCATCTACTACACACACTCCATGAACACATTCATTCCCTTCTTGTTTAGAGCTATCGTTTGAGCGATTTGTATGAACTGGAAACACTTTTTTTTCTTTCGTCTTTTTTTTCGTTTCTTTCTCTCACTCTCTTGAATGTTTTACATCATTGTTGTCATGACTTAATGAAGAACTGCTGCTCTCTGTGAATGTTTCTTTTCTTTTTTTTTTCATTCCCATATTATTTCTCTTCTTTTCTTTTCGATCATTTTATGTTGTATAGCATACAACATACATTCAGCATACATACACGTTCATTATTTTCATACGTACGTACAAGACACATATATTCATTCAGAGCGCACCAAAGAAGAAGAAGAAGACAAAGATTATAATAAATTGTGCTTCTCAGGATTTTCAGAAAAGAGATGGATGGTGATGCTACCTGACTCTGGACGTATTTTTGTCATATGTGTGTGCGCAAAATAATGATTTCTTCTCTCTACATTATTATTTTCTTTCTTTTTTCAATTTCTGTTGATCTTTTTCAGTCTTTTTTTTTGCTTGCTTGCTTTCCTTTTTACGGCCAGCAAGAAAAGAGGAGATGAACAAACGAACAAAAAAAAAGTAAAAAAAAAATAACAAGAAGAAGTCAAAGAATAAGTTCTTACTGCACTTTTCGCATTTCTTGCTGAATTTTTTTCTCTCTCATTGTATATATGATGTTGAAACAGCATTAGGCAGGCAGTTCTACATCTCGATTGTGTAAGAAAAAATGTTTAAAATGTTGCCTTCTGTAATTCAACTGATAAAATGTTAACCGGCATTTAATGTTCATGTCTTGATGCAAAAATAAAAAAAAAGAAAATACAAAAAATATCCTCATGACTTTTCTCGTGATGTAAGCAGCCGTTAACAATTAATGCAAAATCATTTGGGCCGCTAAGACACATAAAAGTGCTTTATCATTATTATCAGACAACAAATATTTTTCTTTCTTCCTTAAACTTCTCTATAGCCTGCTACTGCTATGTCTAAATAGAACAAACAAAAACAGAAAGAGACAGAAAGTGTTTTTCGATGTTTATGCTATAGTAAAAATATTTTTCTATGTTTTTCTTTGCTCATCATTTATAGTTGTGTTGAAGGCAACAAACTGATGTTCTATGCAAGAGTCTAAAGAAACTCTTTCTATTGTTTTTCTAACATTGTTGCAGCAAAAACATCAGGACTCTGTTTGGTGATGAGTCCTATCTTTATATTTATGAATAATCATGTTGACTTTTTGGTGAATGAAAAAGTATAATTTATAGATTCTTATTCATTTATTTATAGAAATCATCAGGATTTTTCCAAGTGCATAAAAGATACTTCATGCCTTTTTATGCAATTTTAATTGTTTTTTCGTCTTGAGAACTTTTAAAAAGCCATCAATTTAAATAATAGTGATAAAGTAATGCAATCAACATTTTTATGATATCCATTTATTATCATGTCGATATGTCTGTCGTCGCTATACTTATTTTTTGATCAAATATATAGAAGTTCTTAATGAAGCCTATATTTAATTGATTTTAATTTTTAATTGGCGATTAGGTGAATCGAATATTATCATTTGTAGTATGTAGATTCAAAATGTGATATGAAATAGATTTTTTTTTCATTTATTTATAAATTTGGTTTTTTACACTTCTAGCTTTTTTAGAATTTTTTTAACTGTTTATTCTTTCTAGCTTTAAATTTAGATTTATAAAGATTTTTTTCTCAATTTAAAATTATTTTCTTGTTGAACTTTTAAGTATTGAAAATTTATATTTTTCACACCTGAATTTAATATACTTGTAAAAATGAAATTGCAATAGTATTAATAGCTTCAACAATAATATAATTAAACCTTTTTTTAAGTAAAGGTGAAAAATAAAGCTTTCAAACGATTTGCATAAAAGACTCTTAATACCCTAATAAAAAAACAAATTTTAGTTTTGCGTGTTTAATACCTTAAAAATTCCAAATAAAATAGAATTTTAACTTCAAAGAGCTGATCTAAAATTAAGATTAAATTAAAATTTTATTTAATTTTTTCAAAAAATTCAAAAATTATAATTTATTATTTTAAAAAACCTATATTTTTAATAAAAAGTTCAAAGTTTTTTTTATTGTCTTATTTACCAATTTTCGATAAAAATTGGTTCTCCTTGATATTTAGATGCACAAAAATTTATATTTCAGCGAAGTTGATTTGAATTTTTTTTTCATCTTAAACTTGAACTCGAATTTTTTAAACAGGCGTGACTTTTTATTTTGTTTTTTGTTAAATAATTATTTGAATAAACATTTCGATGGTGCTTTATAAGAAAATCATATTATGTATATATATAAAAGACAGACTTGAATACTCCGGATTAATGTATCAAAAAATCGTTGCTAATTTAACAAAATTAATAAATTTTGATTAATGTCAGAAAATTACAAAATTTTGCAATTTCAAAATTTCTCAGGGTAATTTTTTTATAATTCATGTGTGAAGCTACATCAGTTAAAAATACCCATCACATCTTTCAATCACAATTTTGAGCATTTAACAAGTCAATTTATCGAACATTTACATTAAATCAAGTTTGAGCGGAAACAAGTATAGCAAATTTGTCTGATTAATTTGTTAATCATTTTGTAAGCTGTCTATTTCTCATTTTAGTCGCTTAGTATTAATTTATTGGTGAAAGATTCTTAAATTTCAATAATTCTTGATTTATTATTAACACTTTGTCTATTTTGGTCGAAAACTGCCAGTGAGAAATAATTTTTGTTCAGATGTAAAGTCATGAATAGCCCAACAATCAACATTGCAAGTAGGTGTGAAAAGAACGATTAAAGACTATTGTTTGGAGACGACTTCACTACCATTTTGTGTCAGTTTGTTTGAAACCAAAGCTCACAATTGACTAACTTATTTATGTATTTGTTTTTTGAAATATCTGAAGAAAATTAATGGAACAAGGAGGAACCACTTAAAAGTAATAAAATGTATCATATCTTCTTCTTAAAGCTTAAATGCATTATGCAACGGCTACACTATCGTGTTAAATTACTGTAAAATAATGATAACGATTGACATCTTTAACTTCGAAAGTTGAAAAACGTTTAAAGGCTTTCTTGCAATACCTGAAACGTGTAGGATTGGAATTATTTTCTGCTGTAGGTAAATATTTTCACAGAGTGTAAAAATGCAATAAACCCAATAAGACTTAAAGTATTCATTGAGTGTATGTTGTAAAATTTATAAGGACACATTACTTGCTGAAAAACCGCTAAATTTTATTTATTTGTTAACGAAATTATTTTTGAACTTTAAGGAAGCAGATGAGTCAGTCTTTCATGCTCAAACAATTTAAGATATAAATGATCACCTGATAGCCAACTGTCAAGCACACCGTATACAATTTGCTCAATTGTTTGTGCTTTTATTAATGGTTTCTAAGAATATTTGGCTGGTGTTGATGCTAAGAGATGCACTTTGCAGAATCTAAGTGGTTCGTTCTTCCTTTATTCAATTATTTATTTTTATTTAAAAACTTTAAATATAAATGTATTTGTATTTTTTAAATAAAGAAAAGTAATTTTAAAACATTTTTAAAGTGGAATACACTTTTGATGCACGAAAGTCATGAACCAAAATTATTTTGTAGCACACTATTCGAGCTAATCAATTATTTTATTACATTTTGTTAACTAGCAATACTGAAAATTAATTGAAAATTTCTTTTCATTTAAAATTGTAAATTTAATTTGATTTGAAAAACATGTTATAAATATTTTTGAAAACTGATACATTTCATTAGGTCATTACACTAGACAAACTCTCGGCAAAATATCAAAGTCTTTTATTTGAATCAGAAAAGTTTCCAGCATGGAATCAGCGACTTTTTACAACTTAGGATGTTTGGTCTTTTTACTGATATCATAATTATAAAAAATTTATGATTAATTAATTAGATTTCGAAGCTTTAATAAAAAACTATTAACTTCGTGAAAAATTCATATGCAAATTTGACGATATAAGATATTTCTGGGAAAAGTCACCATTTGAGCAATAAAAGGAGTTAATTACACTAACTCTACACATTTTATTTTATTGCAGTTGAAAATAAAATTTTCACTTTCTTATAAAACTAATTCGATTTCTATCAAATAAATATATATTTTGTTATTAAATTAACGCCTAAGATTAATAACTTTATATTAGGAAGAAAAAGTTCATTAGCACTCTATTTCGCTTAATTTTTGAACTTTCTAATAAATTCGCATGCACAAATTGATGAAATGGATTTACCTTAATTTCAATGTCGATCACGTCTTGAGTTTAACTTTGCGAGAAAAAACTTTTTCATATTTTGTTTTGAAAAATTATAATTTGGTTTGATTCTCATTTGTGTTGACTGTGGAATGGGATCGTCTTCAGATATGTGTTTGTAGAATATTGTATGGACGGGATATGGCCGTGGAACAGGAATCTCATACTTTTTGATAGTTTCTACTGGAAAAGGTCTTTCAACCTCGACTAAAATAAAAATAAAGAAGACTTTTAAATTACTGCAAAGAATCTCATATGTCTATTAACGTTACTTGGAAAAGGTTTTTCGACTGTATAAAGTTTTGGCTTCTCGATCACTTCAGGTACGACTTTGTAAACTGGAACTTCAATTGGATGCTGAATCCTAGTATATTGTGGATATGGTTGAGGTATTGGAACCCTGATGTATTGTGGAACAGCATAGGGAACAGGGTTGGGAACATTGACTGGTATTCTTTCAAAAACTGGCACGTGAATTGGTCGAGCAGATTCAGAATGAGTTGTATAGATGTTTTGATCTTCACCATATTCACTTATATCATCACAATTTACATTAAAACTATGAATAACAATTCCGAACCATAAAAGCTGAAAATAAATATATAAAATTATTTTATTTAAATCACTTTCTCAAAAGAAATAGCTTGACAATTCTGGTATTTATTCAAGTATGATAAATTTATCATTTATGTAACAATTCAACTTTTTTTTGATTATTCAAAGCATTATCAGCATTGCAATAATGTTGATTAAAACTTTTTGTTTTTAACACCATAAAACTTGTCTAAAAAATGATAATCTTTGTACAATAATTTTTTTCCAGAGTTGTTATATTACATATTTGTAATGTTCAATTTTCAATCAATTGTGCAAGCTCATTTACACTTTAAAGCAAAAAAGCTTTTTTCAAGCAACCGACAGTCACGATCAACTCCTTCATATTGTAAAAATATCCACTAAAGCGTTAAAGTAAATTTCCTAATCAAGATTTCGCTCAAACGAAATATTATATTCTCGAGTTATAATCAATGATAATTGCTTCTTTTGACTTGTGCTTTCTGACACATGCTGATTTTGCATTTGAATCTATAAATTTTGTCATTCAAATCTTCTTTCTCAACAATCAAGATCACCCTAACAACATAAGAGAACCTCACAAAAAATGAGCTTGATGAGAGAATGATTATTTAATGTGCTCCCAAGAGAACCTTAGTGAGCATGCTGAAGATCGTGCTCTGAGCTTGAAAATTTAAGGTTCTCACGTGAGACACTTTTTGAGCTTGCTCTTGAGCATGATCTGAGAATCTCCACTTTTCGTATGACAAAATTATTTCATGCTCTTAAAAGAATCTTACCGAGCACGTTCAAGATCCTACTCTGAGCTTGATATCTTGATCTTGCCCTAAAAAAATTGGGCAAGATGTCCAAAAAACATAAAAATATGGACCTAAACATATCTTGCCCTTGAAAATATTAGGGCAAGATGTCCAAAAAACATAAAATTATGGACCTAAACATATCTTGCCCTTGAAAATATTAGGGCAAGAAATCCAAAAATGAAAAAAATATGGCCCTAAAAACAGTACGCGTTTTTGCCATTTTAGAAATATATCATTTCAGACAGCAATAGATCAGAGAATAAGTGAACGGCATATTACGACTCAGCGCTCCAGGTTCGAATCTCGGCAAATCTCAAAAAAGTAAAAAAAAATCAAACTCTTGAGAGCATACTCAAAATCATGCTCATAAGAGCACCTCTAATAATTAACTCAAAAGAACATGCTCAAGAGAACATTTCAATATTTTTTAATATTTTAAATAATAAATCGTGCTCTTTAGAGCACGCTCAAAATCAAGCTCTCATGAGCACGCTCTTCAGTACAATTTTCTGAGCTTAATTATCATGCTCACCTAGAGAAGCCTACGGTACCTATTTGAGCATGATAATTAAGACTCTTTCGTGAGCATGATCAAGATCGCGATCTTGTGAGCATGTCACATGCAACATGTTACATCGATCAAGCTCTTCTGATCGCGATCTTGATCATGCTCACGAAAGAGTCTTAATTATCATGCTTAAATAGGGACCGTAGGTGGCTCTAGGTGAGCACGCTCAAAAAGTCTGATCAAGCTCAATTTATCATGCTCTGAGCATGCTCTTTGTGGGTTAGTGATCACTTTCAATAATTTCATATTTTTGATTCTAGATTTTTTTTGGCACGATCACAAATTATTAATGGAAATTAGCTTATTGATAATTTTTAAAAAAAAAAACATTCATGTGAAGACAAGAGCACTTACAAGAGTTTGTTTCATTTTGTTTCCAATAATTCACACCTTATCAATTAACCAAACTAAAATAAACTTCAAAATTTAACATTCAATCAGTTTTATATTGAAAACATTACTTGAAAAATTTACAAAAGTCGAGTGGGAGGTCGAAATAAAAACTTTTCCTTCTTCAATGAGTGAGAAATACTCTGTGATTTACTTCCTAGAAATTAATCGAACTAATTGGTATTTTAAAATTAACAAGCATTTTTTAGCGCCGGCCGGTCTTTTCAATGTGAATGAACTTGGAAGAATTCATGCAATAACGAACTTAAATTTTTTTATCTTAATGAGAATGGATAAATGATAAAATTTATTTTATTATGCAGATAAGAGGTATAAGCGAGCATTTAAACTGCAAAAATTACCAAAATGAGAAAAACTGGTTTAGAAGAATCTCAATTTAGATAATGAAAAAACAAACGAAGAAGTGAAAGTGAACTTGAAAATATGCACTTTTAATTTCTTATATTCTTCACGCATTAGAAGCTTTTGAGCAGTCGAGTGTGAATGGCGAGTTATTAAAAATCATGCTTTCTTCAAAACGATAATATAATTTTAAAATTGCATTTCCTGTCTGCTTTTTAATCAAATATTTTAAGCTTCTTCAGAAGTTACTGCATAATTTTCACTAAAATGCTCAAAAATAATTAAATTTTATTTTTTTTTCAAACGTTGATGCTGAGGAAGTCTAGGGAAGCAAATTTATTGAAAAATTCGAATTCCAACAATTGAAAAGCGAAAAATTCGAATTACAAAAATTGAAACTCGAAAAATTCGAGTTCCAAAAATTGAAACACGAAAAATCCGGATTCAAAAAACTTGAAACTCTTTTACTCCAAAATTATCCAAATGTCGGCCTCTTTTCTACCGAAATAGAAAAGATCACAGGACTCACCTCGCGAAAGTCAATAGAACGAGTCCCTGGTTAATGATAAATTTTTGGTCGAATTCCTCAGTGATACGCTCCTTCTTAAATCAAACAACTTTCGCTAGACGACTTAGTTGCAACTTACAGGATAGCCAAGTTTTTCCAACTATGACAAAACCTGTAAGTTAAACACATCACCGGGTTACATTAAATGCCGTGATGCATCTATCATTAAGGGTGTGCGACCCATCTGGAAGCGCCTCTATAAAGATCAAAACCGCCATGAGTCAACGAATTTCAGTACCACTGGCCTTTAGGTCCCCTCCAAACCAACAAGAACAAGCTGTAACACCATTGGAGTCATGAATAGAGAGCTCACGTTCAGGATTTATTGGGCAAAGATCTTGTTATGACTCTCAAAAGCCCGGAAGTATTTGTTGAGAAATAATTGGAAAAATTCACGAAATACAAAGTAAAGTAAGAGCTGAAAAAGTAATGAATTAATTCCTAAAAAGTTCAAAGCCCTTTTTAAAGAGGATAAGCCTCGTTCGATAAAAATTGTATAAAAAACTCGAACGAACTATTGAAATTCATTCATGTCCAGATTGTGAAAAAGAAAAATCCTCGTTAACAAAACCACCAAGCACCTCTTACCCAATCACCCAAAACCTTCCCTTGGCGTCATTGGGGCGCAACTCCAAAATAGATTTGTTTATACTCTTCTTGCCTACCCAACCCCTTCCCCTTAAAAAAACCCAACTCATACCCCCTCACACCCCCAATTTCAACCCTTTCCCCCTCACACCTCAATTTTAAACTCTTCCCAACCCTTACCCCCCACACCCCCATTTTAACACCCTCGACTTTTGGCACTCTCTTAGTACCCATTAGGACCACAACAAAACCAAGATTGTACAGACCTTATCACAGACAAAATTAGACCTTCCTTTCTGTTGCCTTTTGAAACTTGAACATAAACTGGATGTGGTAGTTTTGGACATCTTTCATTTGAGTTTACATACTGGAAATAAACGAAATAAAATTTTTTATTTGATCGATTAATAAAATTGTGAACTCAAACTTTGAAGCGAGGAATGTCTAGAAGCTTAAGTTAATAAAACAAAAAACTCCTTACCTTTTTCATGCTAATGTTCGCCATTACTGTATTGGTTCATGTTCCAAATGTGTGGCTTTTGAAAGGAACTTTGTTATTTTATAAGTCAAACATCGATAGCAAGTATTTTTTCTACAGCTTCATTTACTCCAAAAGTTCTTTTTTGATGTGAAGCGAACTGTCTTTAAAATGTAGAAGCATGAACCAGAAAGTGTAGTCTAAATCAGGTGAGGCAGAATCCTACAAAAACAAAAAAAAAAATCATAAGTTGTGTTGAAAGCAGTCGAAGAAGAATTGTAGAGAAAAGTGAGAGCACAGTTCAATTCAGTGGCAGTTTCACAGTTCAAAATGTCACAAGATTCTCAACAATAAGATCACAGAAAAAATAAATAATTGTGATGACTTACAGTTAATCTCCAAAGTTTTTCCCAGATGAAATATTCTTCAAAACGCTCACAAAGAACTGGATTCCTTATCTTGAAGTCTTTGATGAGTCGTCTAAATTTTTTGTTGTCGCTTAATTTCAAATAATGGTCGAATTTCATTTTTAACTCGTCCGATTCATCAGCAAAAAAGGTCATAAAACCGCGATACAGCTTCGTAAGCTTCTGTTTCTTATACTGAAAAAGACAAGATAAAGAATATTAATTTAAAGATTTATTCTGTTACTTAACCTCTTGTTCATAAATAAATCACTCTCTACCTAGATGATTCGGTCTCCTTTGTGACGAAAGTAACTTACCTCAACAGTTGGATCATATGGCAGGTCTTCAATCTTGGTTGGTATTGTTGCTTCTGATGTGAGGTAGTCTTGCGGATTTTCTTTAAATTTCGGCTCGTAATTGTCTCCATCGCTTGTAGGATCAGTTAATTCCGGTGCTTCTCCTGTTGCTGTCGATATTGTTTCTGCTACTACCTCTTCAATTACGTCTGCTCCTTCCTGTGCTGCTTCAGTTGCTCCTTCTTCTAATCTTTCTGCTACTACCTCTTCTATTCCGTCTGCTGATTGTTGTTTCGATCCTTGCATTGAAATTTCCGCTTCTTCTGCTGATTGTTGATTCGATCTTTCAATTTTCGTTTCCGTTGGTACTCCTTTTGATATTTCTGATGACACAACAGTTTCTTTTGTTAATTCAGTTGCTGTTTTATCCTTTCATTGCTCCTGTTCTGGTTATTTGCAAAAAATTTCATTTTGCCACCGTGTTCTTTTTCACAAAATTTTAGAATGAAGAAAATTTTTTCATAGGTTGCTGATATTTTAATTTTTCATGAAT